TCCCACTGCCATATATAGCTACCAGCAACCTGCACCTGAGGACGCTCTGCCCTCCCATCTGTTCACGGATGTCTATGTTCCTGACCCGGCATACCCCTCCATTTGCACACTCCTGTCACCAAATCAGACACAATACCAATAGTTATCCTTTCTTTCCCCTACTGAGGACCTTCCCCATCAATATACAACATGTGCTGTAATTCCCACCCATAAAAAAAAAAAAAATCTCAATCTCCACATTCCTTCTAGTTAACAACCAGTTCTCTACACCTCTTATAGCAAACTCCACCAAAGAATTTTCTATTCATGCTCTCTTCAGTTTCTCTTTTTCCATTCTCACTTAAACCCACAGCAACCTGACTTAGCCTAACCATACCAATGAGAAAGCCCCACATTCCTTGACTTCCACAGTGCAACCCAGCAGCATCCATCACAGTTGGTTGCCCTTTTTCCTTCTCAAAGACACATCTTTACCTGACTTCCAGGACATCACACTCTCTTAGATTCAATTCCTCCCACAGTAGCTTCTTCCTCTGGGCCCCAACCACTGCAGAATGCCTATGGCTCAGGCCTCATAGACAGATATTCCTTTTAATCTGCACTTGATCTCCTGCAAACTGACCTTGCTGGTGCTTTAAAACCATCTGGACATAGGAGCCTACATCTAGCACCAGCACTGTCAATGAGGTTCAGACCCATATCCTATTCAGATATATAATGTACAAATGAACATGGTCAAAAGTCTCATGATTTCTTTCATCTATTTCTTATAGTTTTCAGGGTAGAGCTCTTTCATCTCCTTGGTTAAATTTATTCCTATTTTATTGTTTTTGATGCTATTGTAAATAAGACCATCTTTTTAATTTATTTTTCTGTTAATCTGTTGTTAGTGTATATATAGATCTGCCACTGATTTTTGTATGTTAACTTCATATTCAGCAACTTTACTGAATTCATTGATTAGATCTAAAAGTTTTTCAAATGGAGTCTTTAGGATTTTCTCTCTATATAGAATCATGATGAAAAAAACTGCAGATAACACAAATACATGGAAAGATATCCAATGTTCATGGATTGGAAGAATTAATATTGTTAAAATGTCCCCAACTACCCAAAGCAATCTATAGATTCAATGCAATCCCTATCAAGATTTCAATGGCATTTTCACAGAAATAGAAAAAGCACTTTTAAAATGTGTATGGAACCACAAGAACCCCAAATAGCCAAAGCAATCCTGAGGAAGTATAACGAAGCAGGAGACATCACACTGATTTCAAGCTATATGATAAAGCTACAGCAACCAAAACAGTATGGTATTGGCATAAAAACAGACAAATAGACCAAAGGAATGGAATTAAAGCCCAGAAATAAACCCATGTATAAAGAGTCAACTAAAATTTGATAAGGGGACCAAGAATACCCAATAGAGAAAAGACAGTCTCTTCAATAAATGGTGCTGAGAAAACTGGATATTTACATATAAAAGAATGAAACTAGATTCCTATTCTTACACTACTCACAAAAATTAACTCAAAGTGGATTAAAAACTTAATCCATAAAACCACAAAACTCCCAGAAGAAAATATAGGAAAAAAGCTCCTTGACATGGGTCTTAGCAATAATTTTTTGGATGACACTTAAACCACAAGGAATAAAATGAACAAGTGGGACTACATCAAACTAAAAAGCTTCTGCACAGCAAAAAAAAATAATCAACAAAATGAAAGGGCAGCCTACAGAATAAGAGAAAATATTTGCAAATCACATACTTGATAAGGAGTTAATATACAAAATATATAAAGAACTTATACAACTCAATAGCAAAAAAAAACAATTTTAAAAATCGGCAAAGAACCTGAATAGACATTTTTCTAAAGAAGATATTTAAATGACCAACAGGTACAGGAAAAGGTGTTCAATGTCACTAATCATTAGGAAAATACAAATCACCACAATGAGACATTACCTCACACTTGTTGGAATGATTATCATCAAAAAGGCAAGAGATAACAAATTCTTGTTAAGATACAAAGAAAAAAAAAACTCTTGGGCACTGTTGGTGGAAATGTAAGTCGGTGCAGCCACTATGGAAAACAGTACAGAGGTTCCTCAAAAAATTAAAAATAGAACTACTATATGATCCAGCACTTCCACTGCTGGGTATATATCTGAAGGAAATAGATCACTATTTTGAAGAGGTATCTGCATCCCCATGTTCACTGCAGCATTATTTACAATAGCCAAAAAATGGAAACAATCTGAGAGTCCACTGACAGATGAATGAATATAGAAAATGTGGTACATACACACACACACACACACACTGCCCGGATTATTATTCAGCCACAAAAAAGAAGGAACTCCTGTCATTTGTGACAACATGGGTGGACCTTGAGGGCATTATGCTAAGTAAAATAAGACAGAGAAAGATACATACTGTATGATCTTACTTGTATGTGGAATCTAAAAACAAAACAAAAATAAAAACAAAAAAACCCCATCACAAACTCATAGACAAAAGATCAGATTTGTGGTGACCACAGGTGGCAGTGGGGGACAGAACTGGAAGAAGGTGCTCAAAGAGTACAAATTTCCAGTTATAAGATAAATAAATATTGGACATGTAATGTACAACATGAGGACTATGGTTAACACCGCTGTATGGTATATTTGAAAGCTGCTGAGAGAATAGATCCTAAAAGAGCTTATCACAGGAAAAAAACATTTTTTCTTTTTTTGGGGGGGGATCTATATGAGGTGATGATGTTAACTAAACTTACAGTGGTCATAATTTCAGAATATATGTAAATCAAGTCATTACACTATACACCTTAAACAGCGCTGTATATCATTTATATTTTCCTAAGACTGAAAGAAAAAAGAACACAGTAAATGTAAAAAGAGATTATTACTACTAAAAATGCAGACCAAATTTCCACTTTCAAAAACTAATGGGGTAGGTGGGTGACACAATATGACCAACTGATAGAACTGAACACACAAAATAGAAACCTTCATACCAAACCTTCTTGCCAAATACACCTGTACACATATAAAAGAATTCAATGCCAAACAGCAAAAGTAGTGGGAAAAAAAATCCAATTTTTGTTTGAAAATATAGAAGCAAAACAGTATTAAAAACTCAGACCCCAGTAAATAAACTGTAGAAAGAATGTATATGGTCAATTTACAATAAAGTAAAAGGCTAACAATTCCCTCCCGCAAAATAGTAATAATAATAATAATAATAATAAGGCCTCATGATTTTCTCACCAAGAAAAACCAAACCAACCAACCAACCAACCAAAAAGAAAAACCAAATAAAACAAAACCATCTGATCCCCTACACCACCCTCTTGCCTCACCTTAGGCAATGTCAGCTCCATGAAATGCCCTTTGCCATACCTCTTGGCTAGTCTTGACCCCTATTTTTATCTGATTTCTTTTCATAAAGTTTATCTTCTTTTGACATTACTTCTACTTTACTTCTTGGGTCCTCATCACACACTCCCCTACACAGTCAGGGCTGTAGTTGCTATGTCTCCAGGATATGCAACGGTGCCCAGCACATAGCAGGCCCTCACTAGGGTTGGGGACATGGTTTTCTGTAATTGCGTGGCATCAACTTCAACAAGGACATTCAAATCCCTCTAACTGTCTTCCTTTCCTGTTCTTTCCAGGAACTAATATAAACCACCACCATTCTCTTTTGATGCTTGAAATTTCTCTGCTTTGGGCATTCAGCCTTCTGAGTTATTTTATGTTAACATATACATATGGTGAATAAGCATGAACTGATCCACCATGCTACATCCATCCCACTAGACTGACATCTTTATGCTTGTCCCTCTACTCCTACACTTAAGATGGGCCTCTCCTCTCCTGATCCCCCTCCCCTACTTCCTTCCCTGGACACTGATAGAGCAATTATCCCTAACCACTGTGTCTCCGCTGGGTCCTCCTCATTATTCTCTAAATAGGTCTCATCTTTCCTCTGGTGACTCTCTGGACCTGAGATCCCTTTCAAGCCACTAGCAGCTAATCTCCACATCTGACTTCTCGCCTGAAATCCTAGTCCTAGCAGAAGAATCACAGCACTGTCCCTACTCTTTGTCTTGGACACTCCTTGAGTCATGGGTCCCTGGCTTCCTCCCCTGCTAGTTCACTAACATTGCCATTGAGTTCTCAGTATACACTGTACCTGCCCGCCTCCTGATGTAACCATTTCCTAAACAGATCTAAACCTGTGTTTTTCCTTGCCACATTTACTCTTTCTACTGAAACTCCTTTTTCCTTGAAACTCTACTAAATTTGCTTTAATGGCACTGCTTCCCACAAGTTCTCACTTTCATTGAAATTTTGTTTTCTTTGTTTTGTTCTAATTTCAAACACAAAGAGACCATGTATTACACAGGGTTGGGACATGGCTCTTGGAAGGCATACCCCTATCCCCTTCACATGTCCTGCTTGACCCCCATGGCCTGGCCCTTATGGTTATTCATATACATACCAACCAGTTTCCTATCTGGGTGTCTTTGCTCTCTCATACATCTTTGCATTTGCAAGTGTTCCCTTGGACAATCTCTGTAACCATATTTGTAAAAATAACCTGAATATATTTATTTCTATTTCCCTCTTTATAACTTATTCAAAAACAGGAATAGTCATTTACTTGTCTTAACTGTCTAAGTATCTGGAATACTGATACTCAATAAAATTTGATAAACCCAAATAACCAATCCCACTAAGGATTAATCATGTAAGCTGTTATGACTGAAACAGTGAATGCTTGACTTGGATAAACGGTTCCCTAAATCATCTCCAGAAATTAGAACTTCTATAATTACTTATCGAGGTTACAATTCTATTCTGTCAATTTTCTTCCCCAAGTAAACAAGTTTAAGTATTTTTAAATTAACATTTCAGGTATTTGGATTTTAAAGAAAGATAACAACTTAAAAAAAAAAAAAAGGATTTAAAAAAAAAAGGTGTAATTTAACCTTAGAAGCTTCTTCTTGTTTGCTGATGTGTCTGGAATCCTGGGAAAAGTCTGTTTCTGGGGTGTGTACAAAATGGTCTCTGCAGATTTCACCCTCTGCTTTATCAGTTTCTCCATCATCTGTCTATCATCAGATCCAAAATCCATGTGGTATTTGGGAGAGAATTCTGAATCAATGAACAAGACATTCTCTGAGTCATCTTCCTTTTCACTATCTGATGAATATTCCAAAATTTCTGTAGAACTCTGAAAGATATTAAAAGAAAGGCAGTTACTTCGGCTCGGGTCGTGGTCCTGGAGTGCCAGGATCGAGTCCTGCATTGGGCTCCCTGCTCAGCGGGGAGTCTGCTTCTTCCTCTGACCTCTCGTGCTCTGTCTCTCATTCTCTCTCTCTCAGATAAAATCTTTAAAAAAAGGGGCGCCTGGGTGGCTCAGTTGGTTAAGCGACTGCCTTCGGCTCAGGTCATGATCCTGGAGTCCCGGGATCGAGTCCCGCATTGGGCTCCCTGCTCCGCAGGGAGTCTGCTTCTCCCTCTGACCCTCCTCCTTCTCATGCTCTCTGTCTCTCATTCTCTCTCTCTCAAATAAATAAATAAAATCTTTAAAAAAAAAATTTAAAAAAAAAGAAAGAAAGGTAGTTAAATTTGGAGACTCTTTATTCAAGTCCATATTTGCATATGCCTTTATTCCATTTTCTCCTGGTTATATTCATTGAAATAACTTTGTAAATAGTTATTTATAGGTTAAACTTTTATTTTGAAATTACTATCAACAGGTCCTATTTAAGAATACGAGTCATTGCCTCTTTTTCCTAACATTTCCTAAAATGTTTCTTACTTTCTCTTACTCAAATTTCTAATTCAAAAATTTTTTTGAAAAGTGGATTATAAAACAGAGATCATATCATATAGTGAATCCTGGACAGGAGAATCAAAATTTTTTCTGTGATGTCTTCTGTTTTTACTTAGACACACACTAAAATATTTAAATGTGGTAGGTATTTTATTTTCCCATTACTTGGTTTTGCAAGTCAGTCCCATTTTGTTCTAACATCAGCAACAATTTATCCTTCAACATTCTAATTTTCCAGTGTATTAGTAAGCTCTTCTAATTTAATACCTTTATAAAAATTTAAATTTATTAAATGACAACAGTACATTTAGTTGAAATGGATCTTCTGTACCCACTCAATTTGTAGGGTAGGCACGGGGTCCTTCATGAGGAGCCCTGTTTATTTTGATGGATCAACATGGACTATGTCCCTGGCACTGTAGCAGACACTTGGTTTAAGAGAGGATACAAGTGTATGAGGGTTACTGTTGGTTAAATCGGTGTGCGTGTGAACTAGTATGTGAGTGTGTATGGTAGCACTAGAGTTTTCATCATTTGCTAATCTAATCGTAAGACAAAAAGTTTACTACATGTGGCCTTTTCTGAGGATTTTATAGTCAAATCCTTTTTAAGAGCTTAAAAAGGACATCACTCATTCCCACATCTCCAAAAAACTGCCTGGGTAGTCACCTGTTACTAGGCACATTTAAAATAAGAAAAAGTAAATGAAAAAAACTTCTCAAATAGCTTAGTTCCACTATACTTTTCACAATCTCAGTTGTATACTTAAATTACTGCAGGTAGCTGATAACCCATTAATAAGCACTAGACTCACATGTTTTCCCCACAGCACAAATTCTGAATAAATATTAATAGGCCACAAAAAGAACCAAAGCAGTTTAGACTAAAAATTAACTTGCTTGACACTAAAAATCTGCATACATTGAGAATTCCAAATTCAATTCATCTTTTTGTTATGAAATTAGTGCCCTGAAGTTTTACACTTCATCCTAAAGCAGGGTTTCTCAACCTCAGCACAATTGTCATTTGGGCTAGATAATGTGGTGGGAAGTCTCTTATGCATTGTAGGGCTGTTTAGCAGCATACCTAGCTCCTACCCACTAGAGAATAGCAGCATGATCGCACCAGTCATAACTATCAAAAATGTCTCGAGACATTGCTAATGTCCCCTGGGAGACAAAATCACCCCTAAGTATGAACCATTGTCCGAGAAAAATGTCAGCAAATGACCAACCACATTTGGCCTGTGCTGGAGACTCACATCCAGAAGTGAAGGGGACATAGCACTTCATGGGGATGGAGAGGTCAGAGTGAAACGCATTAGTACCCCCTTCGCTATGGGGATACATTTCAAGACCCTCAATAGATGCCTGAAACTACAGATAGTACTGTATCCTATACAGACTATGTTTTTTCATATACATACATACCAGTAATAAAACTTAATGTCTAAATTAGGCACAGTAAGAGATTAACAATAACTAGTAATAAAATAGAATTATATTGTAATAAAATTTATGTGAATGTGGTTTTCTCTCAAACTCTTACTGTACTATATACTCACCCTTCTTCTTGTGATGATAAAATGCCTACTTGATGAGGTGAAGTGAGATAAATGATGTAGGCACATGACGTAGTGTTGGGCTACTAATGACCTTCTGATGATAAGTCAGAAGGAGGATCATCTGCTTCCAGACTGTGGTTGACCCCAGGTAACAAACCATGGAAAGTAAAACCACAGATAAGGAGGATTACTATAGTTACAAAACAATGTGTTAGAAGTACTGTAACCGAACTATTGCTCAGGCTCCATGGGGAACATGTAAGAGGAACAAAAAAATCCAAATGGGGCACAGGGAGAAGGGAAGAAGAACTGCCACCTAAAGCTGAATGCTAAGTGTAAGTTGATTAGACAGAAAGAACAGCAAGTACATTCCAGGGAAAAGGAACAGGAGGAACATGAATATGAGGCCAGAGAGAACGGAGCACGTGCAGGAAAATCTACAAGTAGCAGCCAAGAGAGGTTGTATGAGGACCTTGAAAACCATAGCAGGGCATTTGGCTTTATTCCGAGGCAGTGGGGGAATCACTGGCAGTTTCCACAAGGGCTAACAAAATCAGATGTTAATATGGAATGATCATCCAAACCATTCTTAACAAAGTTTTTTTTTTTTTTTAAAGATTTTATTTTTATTTATTTGAGAGAGAGAGAATGAGAGAGAAAGAACACCTGAGAGGGGATAGGGTCAGAGGATGAAGCAGACTCCCTGCCGAGCAGGAAGCCCAATGTGGGACTCGATCCAGGGACTCCAGGATCATGACCTGAGCTGAAGGCAGTCGCTTAACCAACTGAGCCACCCAGGCGCCCGATCATCCAAACCATTCTGAACAACAGACTCTAATATGGAAGACAGAAGATATCAAAGACTGCCAGTAGGAAAGGAGCTGGCTAGAGGTTCTTCATAATCGAAACAGAACACAAAGAGGATGTGAGTGGGAGTAAGAACAGGAGAGGTACACTTGAAAGAAAATGAGGGAAGAGATGTAACCACACTTGAAGATTCTCATATGTGAGAAAGGAAAGTGAAGACATATTCAAAGAAGACCCTAAGCATCTGTTTGGGCAACCAGAGAAGTGTGCTCACCTAGAAAGGGAATTCAGAAAATAATCTGTAGAGGAATAGTTGCCAATATACATTTGGTTTTGATATGTTAATGTTCTGATGCTTATGGAATAGCTGAGATAAAAGTGGCCAATAGGTAGTAGCTTTATGGGTCTGGAGTTTTAATAAAGTGATACGGGATAGAGATATAACTTCAGGAATCATCAAAACAGAAACTGTGCATTAAAGTATGTGAGGTAGAAAAGACTGTTCCTCTAAATTCTGTAAAAGTGAGAAAAGAAGATCCAGGCTGGAACCGTGGGAATATGATCACCATTTAAGCTGTATTCAGGTGAGAGGAAACGGAAGTTTCGGATTTGAGAAAAAAAAAGAGATTGCACAGTTTTAAGAAAAATATGAGACCTTGGAAATAGTGTGCTATAAAGAATAAATGATGCAAAATGATCCAACCACTCTGGAAGACAGTTGGCAGTTTCTTACTAAACTAAATATACTCTTAAAATAGAATCCAGCAATCATACTCCTTGGTATTTACTGAAAGGAGGTGAAAAGATGTTCACATAAACACCTGCACACAGATGTTTAAATCAATTACTCATAACTGCCAAAACATGGAAGCAACCAAGTTGTCTTTCATTAAATGAATTAATAAACTGTGGTACATTCACACAATGGAATAGTATTTGGCACTATAGAGAAGTGAGCTATCAATCCATGAAAAGACATGGAAGAACCATAAGTGCATAGGACTAAGTGAAAGAAGCCAAACAAAAAAGAATACGTACTGTATGATTCCAACTATATTACGTTCTGGAAAAAACAAAACTATGGAGACAACAAAAAGATCAGTGATTGCCAGCAATTATGGGGTGAAGATGAATAGGCAGAGTACTCTTGGACAGTGAAAATACTGTGTATGATATAATGATGAATATATGTTATATATACCAACACCAAGAGTAAACCTTAACATATACTATGGACTTTGGAATGATTATGACACGCCAATGCAAATTCATCAATTGTAACAAATGTACAATTCTGGTAAGTGATGCTGATAATGGGGGAGGCTATAGATGTGTCACGGCAAGGGGTATATGGCAAGTCTCCAGATCTTCCTCTCAACTTTACTATAAACCTAAAACTGCTCTAAAAACATATTTAAAAAAAACCCAAAAATAGCAATAAATGGAAGGGGAGGTGAAAATAGGAGACCTGATAATTCTTTCAGAAAGCTTGGAAATGCATATTTTAATTTCTTTCAAAAATAGAAAAGACAACATAAAAAGACACATTTGCTCAGCTATGAACAATTCATATGACAAAGTTGAAGATAAAATCATGAAAATAAAAGTGTACTCCAGACTCGAGTGTATCTTCCAACCACAACCATGAGCTTTAAATGAATTTCCTCAGGAAGAATTTTTTTAAATGATTTTATTTATTTATTTGACAGAGAGAGAGAGAGACAGTAAGAGAGAGAACACAGGCAGGGGGAGTGGGAGAGGGAGAAGCAGGATCCCCACCCAGCAGGGAGCCTGATGCAGGGCTCGATCCCAGGACTTTGGGATCATGACCTGAGCCGAAGGCAGACCCTTAAAGACTGAGCCACGCAGGTGCCCCATCAAGGAAGAATTTAATAGCATTAAGATGGGTAAGATTTAGGGGCACCTGGGTGGCTCAGTCGTTAAGCATCTGCCTTCGGCTCAGGTCGTGATCCCAGGGTCCTGGGATCGAGCCCCACGTTGGGCTCCCTGCTCAGCGGGGAAC